TATGTGAACACGTTTCATGTCTAGATTGGGAAACTTAACAAGTTGATAAGCAGCTTCGTGTGATCGCTTATTCCAGTTGCTATTGTTAGGGTTAGTGAAACCAAATAACGAAAAGATATCCTGGGTGTGCTGAACTTGCTTCGTGGTTTGGTGGTTCTCTGATTTCTCTGTGTTCAGTCTCAGGACTGTACACCACAAGCGGGGATGTCACCGCAGGTGCAGGTGCTTCGCCTTTAACAGCTGATTGCAGCAGGAGTTGAATTAGACTTAAAACTGATCTGAAAAAGGTGAATTCTGTTTATGTGATCCCTGCTGATATTTTTGAAAACAAATCTGACCCATACTGAACCTGCTGCCTGTCCAAACAGAGCTTACATGACTGCTTCAGACTCACATTTTTTACAGTGTATCCGTCTGTCCCTGCTGTAAAAGCAGAGCAGGCTGTCTGTGTGTCTTTGTGTCAGTGTTGTTGCTGAGTGCAGTGACCTGGGGTTACACTCTCTCTGTTCCCGTTAGGGTAAATATCCCTCTATTAGCAACAAGTGGTCTGAAAGCTCTGATCCTCTCAGAGCTGCTGGCTGCTAGAAGCTTTTAGAGAGAGAGACAAGGAGAGCAGCTCTGTCTGTTTAACCCTTACGGCCATCGCTTGTGTCTTTATGATCTAGCTTGATCGAGAAGAGAGGCACCAACACAAGCTACATGTAGTTTTTGCTACCGGTCATTATGCTGTTATTGTTATTGAACAGAGCTTAACATACCTAATGCTCACTGACACCTAGAGGCAACACACAAGTCACAGTGATCTTGTTTCCTTAGAGTCGAGACACGTCAACTCTGCAGAAAATCAACAACCTCATCTACTCTACCTGCTACAGTCTATTTGGATGGGATTACAGGGGAAGATGAGGAAAAAGATGTTCACTGCGCTCCTCTGCGATTTAATGATTCTGGACGGCAATTTAATCATTGCAATATCACAAACTGCTGTCTGTAATAGACCTTGACATTCATGCGGACAAAGCCAATAGATATTATCAGTATTTACCTGTAGTTGACATTAGGGGGTGACATGGGAGTGGATTAGATTAGATTGTTATATTTTGACGATGCCGGTGGAATTGGTTTGTTGTTGTTGTAGACAAAACACTTCACAACATATAACAATACAAAATACAGTGGTAGTATTTGAGAAGACAACTAAACTAAACTACAGTCCTGATGTCTATGGAGAAAAAGCTGTTTGTGAAGTGTTTGGTCTTGGTGGAGAGTGACCTGTAGCGCCTCCTTGGGGGAAGCAGCTGGAAGAGGTGGTGAGCAGGATGTGAGGGGTCGATGTGTATAGAGGGAATCAACTGACGGGAGTGATTTGCCTATGATCTGGGAAGCTTTCTTGACAGTCCGCTGTAGTTTTTTCTTTGTTTGGCTGTCCATGCTACCGTACCATACTGTGATCGAAGATTTAATAATAGACTCGATTGTAGCGGAGTAGAACAGAACAAGGAGTTGATGCTTGATCCGGTATTTTTGAAGCTGCCTGAGGAAATTGAGTCTTTGTTGAGCTTTTGCAGTTTTTCACTCCTGTCCCATCCCAGTCCCATTGGTGATTTTGAGTTGACGAAAACTGGGAAATGTCTGCCTAAATTAATAATAATAATCATAAAAAAAATTAAATAATAAATTAGCTCTCCAACATATCACATGGCTTAGACACGGAGCACGGCCGAAATTAAATTTATCATCCCTATTGCAAAAGTATCTTTGAGCTGTTAGTTGGACAAACGAGCAAATGAAAGACGTCACATTGGATTTTTTATTATTATTATTTTTTACTATTTTCTGATGTTAGATATAATGATTAATCTTCACCTTAAGATTTTATGATTTACGCTATGGGGACTTGTTTTTTGTCCCCATAAGGAAGGTGGGTCCCCACAATGTGACTGTCTAAACAGTCACATTTGTCCCCACAACATTGGCAAAACCTAACCACACACACTTGCACTTTCTTTGACCTTTCTTTTATAATCCGTGTGAAAAAAACACAATCACAGATCCAAAATGGCTCCTGTCTGTTCTTACTGTAAATATTTATGACTGAGGTTTCCTCATCTTCCTGTTGCTCAGACGTTCACTCAGCGTTACTGTAAGAACTAAAAGCTCTTCTCACTGTTAAGACTCCAGTCTGGCACTTTACTTAGCCAGCTCCCTTTCTGCATGTCTCTTCATTTGGTCTCTGTCTCAGGTGTCTGTTTCACTCTGTCCTTTGTCTGGAGATGCTGTCTCCAGACATGGACTTGACAGCCTACATGTTGACTGAAGAAGAAGAAGAACTGTATTGTCTTTAAAACAACAAAACTTTGACAGTAAACAATAAAGTAAACAATAAAAAGAGGATGCAATTTAAATTGGATAAATAATATAAAAGGGGTAAAAATTAAACATATGTAGGCTCATATGTGCATACAGTTTAACTTTACAGTCCTTGGTATAAAGCAGGGGTTTTTCAGAGAGTGAGGCGGGCCTCCCTAGGGGGGCTCCGAACAGTTTCAGGGGAGGCTCAGTGAATCGAAGTGAAACAATATCTTTTCCCTGATGTCAGGGCGACGAACAGTCTGTGACCTGGGTAGGTTAGTCCCCACTAAGATATTGAAGATCTGTTGGTGCTCGTAAAAGAAAAAACTGAAGAGATCATGGTGCATCATGCCCAGGAGTATGGAGTGATTATTGGGTCAGAATTAAAACTAAAAGTCTAAAACTAAAATTCTAAATTGAAAACTAAAAGTCTAAATGATTTGGTATTTAGGATTAGGCATTTTGTATTAAAATTAGAGCATTTGGTATTTAGGATTGGGCATTTGGGCATTTTCTAATCCTAAATACCAAATGCCCAGTCCTAAATAGACTTTTAGTTTTAATTCTGACCCAATAATCCCTCCATACAGGACAACATGTTCTTAAAATAATCACAAATAATGTTTGTGACAACTTATTTCTGAAGGTTTACCAGAACGGTCAAAATATTTCTTTCTTCAATGTTAAATCTGACTGAGGCATTTAAAAGAAGCACCTTTATTCTGATCAAGATCAAAATTTGATTTGCTGTGAGAGCTCGTTGTTTCTCATTTAGCTGATAAACTTAAATTCATTGACTGACACACACACACACACACACACTTCCTCCTCCTTCAGCCAGGGGCTATAGACCACCTGTGTGTGTGTGTGTGTTTGTGCGTGTGCGTGTGTGCGTGCGTGGGTTTCTTGGTGACCCCGCCGTGTGTTTGCTGTCAAACTGCAAGATTTATGACTGGACGTCTCAATCTCTCTCTCTTTCTTTCAAAGGCAAAAAAAAAGTTTTCAAATATTACTTTACATGTCAAACTTCAAAAGTAGAAGTAAAGAACGGTTCTTCTTGAAACATTAAAAACCTTGTAGGTTAAAAGCCTCTATATATCCATTATCAGGATTTGAATGCTTTCAGAAGGATCTCATGCTTCTCTAGTAGTAAATTCTCTAAAACATTTGAACCGTCAAAATAAAAAATCCTGTCAAAAAATACAGAGATGTTATTCTAATTATGATGTAAAGACTATTTAATAAATATTCAGATATTTGTGTGTCCTTATCTGTCAGGTTTGGACGAATGGAGTTGTACTGAGCTGAATCAGCTGATATCAAAGAAGACACTGGGTGTAAACCGACTGAGTCGCTGTCTCGTAATGACCATCATGAGACAGGAACTTGAACTTGTCTGCTGAACAACTAGCAGGCTCCTGAAGGAAATTTTAACCTCAGGAGGAAAAATCCCCTAAAAACTAAATATCCCCTGACAGTGAAGTGAGTGTTTTTAAAATCCAGCATACATGGCCGATAAAAACTATTAACTCCCAAACACATGAACCCTGAAAACCAGGATAAGATCTAAAACAAGCACGGCCCTCGTGATAACACACACTTGTTCTCCAGGGTCATTATTCCTCCAAGGTTCAGCAGTGGGTCAGCATCAACTTTCTGCTCTCTTTTTCTCTCCACCTCGCACTTGACCCCACTATCTCTCCTCTCGCTCTCCCCCCTGTGTTTTCATTGGTGTTATTATGTCACTAAACCCTCAGCTGTGGATAAAATAAAATCCCTGCAACTATCACGTGCCATCCACATTCACGCTTATGTTTGTACAATTTGTAATTAATAGGATATTAAAAACAGACATGGTCCATGTCTTGTTTTGTTTTTAATATCCTATTAATGCGTGAACAAATTACTGCAAGAGGGCAGAAACACAAGTCGACAGACCGACACACCGTAAACACATTTTTTACTATTTTATTTGCAATAGAAAATCTGTCCACTGTAAATGTATGTTAGATTTTCAAATGACCTGCTTGGTACTCACAGTCAGTTGCACATTCAACCATGTTATTACTGATCAACAGTTTTAGGTGTGCTCACTTTCAGTTTCACATCCAAATAAATGGATAGCGCTTACTACCTGTCTGAGCATCTGACCACTCGAGTTCCTGCCCCAGATCTTATATCAGCAGTAACTTATTTACAAGTATGATGGACAAAACTATAAAAAAAAAGGCCATAAAAAATGAATTCTCCTTCTAATATTAAAGTTATATTTAGTTTAACTTACAACAAGGCGACACAGTGTGATGGATTAGCCTCCCCATATCAAACACGTTTCATGTCTCTACAGGTTTTGCACTGAAGTGAACTAAAACTTTGCAGCCTGGAAGGAAGAAAGTCAGTCTAAAAAAAAAAAGGCAGCAAGCAGTCATTTAAAGTGTTGCTGTAGCCAAAACATGACAAATTGTGGTCCTGTAAATTAAAGGATTTACGTGTTTATTTTGTCATTAGAAGACCCAATTCTCTTCACGGTGTAATCCATCTTCTCCAAGCTCTGTATCGTTTACACAGACTTTGAACCCAGTTTCTCTTTTGCTTCCTATTAATTATCCAGACGAGCTCTCAGGTGAGCCTCTGTTTATGTTAGCGAGATGCCTCCGACAGGCAGAGAAGCTCACCTTGAGATGAAGCTGCACCTTCGACATCCCAGCACGGTGGGTTCATCCAAGTTCAGCATCACCGCATGTACACACACACACACACACACAAAGCAGACATGTACACACATAGCCTACAGGCCTTTGATGAGAACAGGCTTTGAACAGCAGGTCTTTAGAGTTGATTTAGTCAAATGTGCAGCACGGTAATGAATAAAAATTGTAATTTGTTAATTGATATCACACATTGCAAAGGCATGCAAAGATCTGAACTGCACTTACTCAAAGACACAAACTCAATAATACACACAAAAAGTGTATAAACAAGCATTCCACACACACACTAAGCAGCCGTCCCCGCCCTCGAAACAAAAACAGTCATTAAAGTTTCAACTCTTCACCTCGGCTTCGAACTGCCAGCCGCCAGATCTGCCACCGGGCGTTAACTACAGGTGAGGAGATGGGCCGCGTTCCAGATCCACCAGCCTGCCTGCGTCAGAGGTGACTCTGCCCTCACCTTGTGGCAAACTGCACGCCAACACAGACACACACACACACACACACACGATGAGGTACACATTAAATTAGCACATGCAAAAACAAAGTGTACAGTAGCAACCACAAAGAATAAGAGATGGTTAAAGAGAAGCAGAGTTCAGGTATGTGCAGGTACACAGCCTGGCACACATGCCAGTGGCGGGTGAAGTATTTAGATCCTTTATTTGAGAAAAAGTACTAACACAACACACAACAAGTTCTGCATTGAAAATGTTACGTAAGTAAAAGTGTGTAAGTATAATCAGGAAAATGCACTTAAAGTATTAAAAGTAAAAGTACTCAATGCAGTAAAGTTAGTTAGTATAGTGGTATTATTCCTCATCATTAATATAAAGAAGGATGTTACTTCTGTAGTTGTTGAGCTGGAAATCTTTTATATCATAATTATTTTCCTTATGAATTCATCTGCTAATTATTTTCTTCATTAATCGATTGATTGATTGTAAAAATTCTGAAATAGTGAGAAATGCTGTCACAGTCCAAAGTGACTCCTTTTATAATGTTTGTTTTATCTAACAAACATTCAAATTATTAAAATAATTAAAAAGAAAAAGGAGCAAATCTTCACAGTTGTGAACCATGAAATGTTTTTACATGAAAAATGTCTTAAACAATCAAAATAGTCGATAGTTCACTTTCAGTCAACTGACTAATGTTTCAGCTGTACTGTTTGGTAGTTTAATAAATAACAAAAAAACAACATATTTTATAAAATCTTCATATGTTTTGTGTGTAAAAACACTGTTTATTTATCCTCCTTATCTCCTTTTATCTTTAGCTGCTCCATTTTCTTCACCAGGTGTGTCTTTCTGCTGTCTGGTGCTGGGAATGTAGTGTGATGATGATAATAATTACTTTACTTTTCACCTTGGAGAAATTCTCTTTTTCTGTGTTGGTGACTTTACACACAGGTCTGAGCACACACAGAAACACATACACCTGCAAATTGATGCAATTAACCTGAGTGGTTAGCGGTTAGGTGCCTTGCTCACCTCGGCAGTGCCCCAGAGGTGGGCTGGCACCTCTCCAACGACTGGCCAACATCCCGGCCCCAAGCCAAGTCATTGTGGAGTGAGCTTCTGAGCTACTGCCGCCCTGCAGAGGCTTTAACGGAGCATAAACAAAACTATAATCTAAAAATATGTTAAAACAGCTCAGTGGAGCTGCGGTGTTGTAAAAAAGGACCAATACACACATTTACTCTACATTCCTGCTCATAGTTCACTACAACTATTAGCTTTTAGAATGATTTTGTACATTACAGGCAGTTATTTGTTTCAGTTTAACAGCACACTGAAACTGAAACACTGCTCATTGCTTACATATATAATCCAGTAAACAATACATTGCTTTTCTTTCATTTCAATTTGTTATGTTGTTGTGACTGAGACTATCTTGGACACTAAACAGCACAGAAACCCTTCCAGCGGTAATAAGTAGTTCCAGTACACTGAGGTCGATGTGTTAATCTAATTATCTTAATTAAAAGTTTCAAAAGAACAAAAACGAACTAATGAGTAACTGTTGTTGGAGCATCAAGACACAGCTGCAGACAGGTGGCGCCATCTGGTGGCTGTACCTACTATGACAAGTCAAACTGTCAGAATCAGCTTTATTTGCCAGGTATGTGTACACAAACAAGGAGTTTGACTGCTCACGATGTGCTTTCTTATACAATCATAAAATCAGACACAAGCTACAGTAGAGAACACATATATACACACTATAAACAAAAACAATATAGACAGATTGAGACAATAGTGCAATGGGCAGAGTGCAAAGGATGCAGGAGTAAATTATTTTAATTATTATTATGTACATGTCGGAGGTGGATGTGATGTACACATACATGTACACATGTACACAGTGCGATGGAGCATAGTGTAAAGGATGCTGAAATAAATAAGTATTGCAGGTGTTATGTACTTGAGGTAGGTGGATTAGGTATGCAATATATACAATGTACAAAACAATATGAACAGCTCTGAAGCAGAGAATGCTGAATAAATAGTAAGTGGTAACCAGTAAACAGGTGGCTGATTAGAGGCAGAGTTACTGGGTTCTTGCACAGGAGTTGTTCCTGACACTGTGAGTCAGAAGTCAGCTGTTCATCAGAGTGATGTAGCGCCTACCAGAGGGGAGGAGCTGGAACAGGTTGTGTCCGGGGTGAGATGGAGTTGCAGTGATGTCTCCTGACTCTGGAAATGTGTAAGTCCTGAATGGAGGGCAGGTTGGCCCCGATGATTTAAGATCTATTACAATGATCCTCTGTCCAAATGTCTTCATCTCCGTTATTAAGTCTTCTCGATGAAGACGATAATATTAGAGATGTATACCTGCCAGAAATAAGTCAGTTTGTTGAGTGGTGTGATAAAAATTATCTAATAATAAATATAAAGAAAACAGCGGAGATCATATTCGATCCAAAAGGTATTGGGGACCATCATCAAGTGGTTATACATGACCAAAACATCACCCAAACGCAGACTTACAAGTATTTGGGTGTTTATATAGACAGCTCACTTACTTGGAAAACTCACACGGAGTGGGTTTGCACACGGCTGCACCAGAGACTATATTTTTTTACGTAGATTACGTTTTTATGGGGTGAATAAGAAAATTATGATGCTGTTCTACAAGGCTGTTTTAGAAAGTATTGTTAAGTATGGTGTTACAGTATGGTTTTGGGAACCTATCTATACAGCTAAAATCCAAATTGTCACATCTGGTGTTGACAGCACTTAAAACAGTTGGAAATGAGGAATCTTTGAATCTCCAACAGTTATTTGAGAATAGCACTTTAAATCAGGTGCAGAAAATTGTGGGGGACCAAACTCACTTTCTGCACTCTCAGTATGAATTGCTCCCCTCCGGCAGAAGATATAGAGTTCCACTGTGCAAACTAAACTGGTATAAAAATTATTTTGTTCCTGTGTCTACACGTATGTTGAATAACAGTCTATCTTATTAATTTTAAATTTGTAAATTAATTGTCTTTCCTCTTTTTATACTTTTTATACTTGTATATTGTATATTTCTATGTACGTGCAGCAACCATGCAGTCCAAAACAAATTTCCTTTCGAGGACAATAAAGTATACTACTACTACTATTATGACCGTTCATTTCTTTGTGTTTGAACAGTCTTTGAACGCTTCATTAAATCTATATGAATCACAGTGGAGATGACCAGATGAAGACTGACGATAAAAGAGTAGCTTGTGGCTAACTAAGGTACGTTTACATTTTGTTTGAATGTTGATCAATGTTTATTTTATGAGCAGGAAGCCTTTGCAACTGTAGTCCGTTTAAATCAGTCAGACTGGTCATGTGTCAGGACAGCTGTACTATGAAGATGTTCAGCTCAACTTAAGTTTCTTCTATGTTCACAAAATGTTGCAAACTTTGAGTCAAGTTAAAATAGGAAGTATGATTCCCTTGTGCAGAAATTACATTAGACTCAGATTAGATTTTATTTGCCATTTGCAGTACAAGAGGTACATTGGAATCCTTGTGCATACCTCACTGAGTCAGAGGCAATTATAAAGCAGAATAGAAATAAATTATACACCCTATATACAGAAATGACGCCAAGGTGAGTGTTTGATGTCCAAATGTGAGGCCATTATTTTGGGAAGCCACGACAGTAAAAGTTTTTAAGTTTGGAGATGAAGGTCTCAGCTTCCTTTCTTCAAAGCAGGCTCAGTCCTTGACTTCAATAAATGCCGATGTTCTGGCACTTTAATAATAAGTAAATAAATGGACCAAGGATTCTGTGAAAACAACTGTAGCTGGATGAGAAACATTTTCCTGATAAATCATTTAATACATTTTTAAGAAAAACATCCCCCTGTGATCTTCTGAGGCTGTCAGGTCTCGTCCTGCTTCATCAGTTCTCTCTCCAGAAGGCTGCGGTTTAAAACGCTTCTTCTTCTTCTTCTATGAAGAAACTGAACTATTTATTACTGATGATGTTTTAATATCGCTGAAACATTTTCCTCTCTGAAGGTCGTCTGAGGAAATTTCACATGACTTCTCAGAGTCTTCGGTTTGCCAAAAAAGGGAATGAGCTGATAGATTTAGCCAAAAATACAAAGCGGAGGTGTTTTTTAGTTCAAAGACATATTCTGGTATCCTCAACAGTTGAGACAGATGCAGAAGATATTGTCCACTCTTCCCTCTGATCTTTTCACTCTCTGCAGTTTCGAATAAAACAAACGATCATTGCATTTAATGTTCCTTCCTGGTTCCCATATGCCCCACATACATTCAAACAGATGAAGGACTGAAATTGATCTAATTAGATTATTAGATTTCTTAATAATGTATCTGATCTTTTTAATTGATTAATTCTCGTTTGATGATCTTTTAAATGAGAATTAAACACCATCATTACTGAAAAATGACCCGTCTCTATTTATTTTCACAATAAGAAAACATGGAATACAATTCAAATATGGAAGAAACAAATCTGCATTGTCCAAAAAAAGTAACTTAAGCTAAAAAGAACAAGCAGCTGATTACTGCATTATATATTCTATTATATTTTTGTATTTATGAAGTGTCACCTGCCAGCTGAATTTGTTGTTTCCCTTTATAAATATTTCCACCATAAACGCAGGAAATTAAGTGTTTAATGCTCCAATTTTTGAGGGGAGGACCCCCAGACGCCCTACTCATCTATTTCAGCATTTCATATTTCCTCAAAATAATGTTAAATATCTGCTCGTCTTGTTCTCGTGCGTTGTCATATCTCGTGATCCAAGTTTATCATCACAACAACAGGTTGTGAATGTGTTTTAATTCACTGTCTGTGGTGCAGAAGTATGTTTGCAGTGTGCCTGTGTGTTTATTTCTATGTGTGTGTGTGTGTGTGTGTGTTCAGGGCTGTGGATTTGTGTGTAGGTTCTATAAATAATAAATGTAATAATAAAAATGTTGCTTGGAGACAGTTTAACGTAGAAACGGGGGAAGTAATCGAACCTGCAGAACTCTGTTTAGATTTTGGCTGAAAATACTAATGATAGATTATGCCGTCCAACAAAATCACTAAAGAGAAAGGGCTGCATTTTTGATCCTGTAGAATACCTGAACCAATTTGGAAAGTAGATATAGACCAGGGGTCGGCAAATAAGTCTGGGGCCAATGTCTTTCCAAGCTGTTACATGGCAGGCCAGAACATAGTCAAATTATTTCACATCCTTGTATGTTCAGGCCTATGTTTAGCTCAGTCGGTACTGTTCAGGACTCCCCTTAGAAAGGTTTTAAGATCGATCTAACTAACTGGGGATATTTGTTTTTCTCCCTTGTTAAATAAATTGATTATATGGACACTTTTGCACATGCTCACAATAAAGCATGTGCTGCAGTGTGGCTGCGCGTCCCGGCTTTTGATCCCTATTCTTAAACCTACGGACGTTTATTTTCATTTCCTCGAGGGGAAATCACACGATCACACGTTTTCTGGAGGCTTTTTCAGAGGTGTGTCAAGCAATCGAGAGTCTTCTGAATGTCCTTCAGAGCTCTTCAAAGTAAAAGCTCTCAATAAACTCGTCATAAAGCATTGCTGCAAAAAACGTTCTCGCGCTTTTATTTCACTTTAGAGGAAGTGATTGTGTGAGTAACTGTATCTGTCATGACAGATCTATTTTAGCACCAGCCGCTATCAGTTTATTTTATTTTTTATTTTTCTGCTATTAAAGCAATCTGCCCGCGGGCCAGATTTTATTACTGGCCTATTGCCGACTATTGACATAGACACTGAGTTTCAGCCATTGTTTCATGTCATGTTTTGTTGCTAATTGTCTGCAAACATCTGGGGGAAAGCACCATCAGGATCACCAAAGTTCACTGAAAAAACAGCTTTCATCATCTTATTGTTATTCCAGTCTAGCAGTCACACCAGCAGAGAGGACAAATATTATAATGAAGATTTAGGAGGGAGTGAAATATGTTTCCTTGCAGCCAGCTGCTGATGGAAATAAATTGTACTCTGTTCTGTCCACTTGTTTCTGCATTTTAAGATTAAGTATTTGGCGCAGTGTGACACTCCCTGCTTATCTGAAGAGTTAATGCAGATCCTGTAAAAGATTAGTGCAGTAATGCTATCATAATCAGTCATATCGTCTTATTATCTGTGAAAGCCTGAAGGCATGATGTCAGATTACCCTATGAAAACCTCACTGTCCGTTGTAAATAACTGCAAACATTTTTTTTTGATTAAATTAAGAAGTCTCTGCCACAAGAGAAAATCTAGAATATGAACAAAATCCCCATAATAGTTATATTTATATGTTCTCTTCTGCCTCATAGGCGCACAGCTTCTCACAGAAACGCACGAGCAGCTGTGCGCCTATGAGGCACGTACTACATGATCATTTTGGATTCGTTTTTTTTTTTTTTCAAAGCTAAAACACTCATTGAATTGAAGAATCCTCATTGAAGAATCCTCATTGAAGTCGTCGTTTAAGAAGGAGACCAAAGTCCTGAAGACACTCTCCATCATCATGGGAGTGTTTGTCTTCTGCTGGTTGCCGTTCTTCGTCCTCAACTGCACGGTCCCGTTCTGTGACCCGCCCTGCGTCAGCGACACCACCTTCACCGTCTTCGTCTGGTTCGGCTGGGCCAACTCTTCCCTCAACCCGGTCATTTATGCATTCAACGCAGACTTCCGTCGGGCCTTCACTACCATTCTGGGTTGCAACCACATTTGCTCAAACAACGCGGTGGAAGCTGTGAACTTCAGCGACGAGCTTGTTTCTTACCAGCATGACACGACGCTCCACAAGGAGGCGCTGGTCCCTGCGCAGCCGCAGCAACATCCTCGCACCATTAACGTCGGGTCCGGCCACCTGGAGGACATGAGCGCTCAGTTTGACGAGGAGTCGATCATCTCCAATGGTTCCCGGAGCCATAACAGACTGCTGCTGCTTCCTGCCACCGTCCAGTTCGAGGATGACCCAGAAATCTCCTTGGAAACGATCACGCCGTTCACCTCACACCAGCAGAGAGGACAAATATTATAATGAAGATTTAGGAGGGAGTGAAATATGTTTCCTTGCAGCCAGCTGCTGATGGAAATAAATTGTACTCTGTTCTGTCCACTTGTTTCTGCATTTTAAGATTAAGTATTTGGCGCAGTGTGACACTCCCTGCTTATCTGAAGAGTTAATGCAGATCCTGTAAAAGATTAGTGCAGTAATGCTATCATAATCAGTCATATCGTCTTATTATCTGTGAAAGCCTGAAGGCATGATGTCAGATTACCCTATGAAAACCTCACTGTCCGTTGTAAATAACTGCAAACATTTTTTTTTGATTAAATTAAGAAGTCTCTGCCACAAGAGAAAATCTAGAATATGAACAAAATCCCCATAATAGTTATATTTATATGTTCTCTTCTGCCTCATAGGCGCACAGCTTCTCACAGAAACGCACGAGCAGCTGTGCGCCTATGAGGCACGTACTACATGATCATTTTGGATTCGTTTTTTTTTTTTTTCAAAGCTAAAACACTCATTGAATTGATGACAGTGATCTTTTACGTGCGCTCAGGAGGGACCGAGCCCCGCAGCAGCAGCAGCCTCCACCTGACTGTGAGTCTGAGCGCATCACAGTCAGAGGTGAGTCCACAATCAGTCACACTGGGACAAAAGACCGGAGCAGAGACCTCACAAACCCATGGGGAGACACAGCTTCGACTGGATTTATTATTACCCACTGCTATTAATTTATCAGTTATTTTTCTACATTTCTGAGGATAAATACTAGGAGGAGGCTTTATTGAGTATTGATTTGCGCTTTGGCTCTCCGGAGTAAGGATCTCATTTTAAAAAGACGCGTGCTTAAGCTCTGACAGGATCTTATTTGAAGACAGTCACCTTTTTCCGTGCTGTTTTATTCTTCATTCGGAGTTCAGAGGATGTTTTGTGCGTCAGGAGCTGCTGGAAAGAAGAGAAGCGGTTTTTCATGTGGATATTAATGACCTGTTACCACTTTTAAATCACTCGTTCTGTGTGGGGTGAAAATATGGAAAACTACACGAAGTGGAGTAATTATACCCAGGTTCTGTCGGAGCTGGACGGGTCGGGCGGCGAGGAGGAGGAGGGAAGCGAGGAGGAGGACAGCGGGAGCGGCTTAGGAGGCGGCGGACTGCGCGTCCTCGTCGGCTGCGTCCTCTTCCTGCTCATCGTGTCCACGCTGCTCGGGAACACGCTGGTGTGCGCGGCCGTGGTCAGGTTCCGCCACCTGCGCTCCAAAGTCACCAACTTCTTCGTCATCTCGCTGGCCGTGTCTGATCTGTTCGTAGCCGTGCTGGTGATGCCCTGGGAGGCCATCACGGAGGTGACCGGCACCTGGCTGTTTGGACGGTTTTGCGGGGTCTGGATTGCCTTTGACATAATGTGCTCCACCGCCTCCATCTTGAACCTGTGCATAATCAGTGTGGACCGCTACTGGGCCATCGCCAGCCCGTTCAAGTATGAGCGAAAGATGACTCACCGCGTGGCGTTTGTCATGATCGGGGTGGCGTGGACTCTGTCAATCCTGATCTCCTTCATCCCAGTGCAGCTAAACTGGCACCAGGCCGGGGAGGAGGAAGAAGAAGAGGTGAAGGAGGAGGTTGTGGAAGGCAGGAACTTCACAAACAGCAGCAACATCAACATCAACGCCAGCGCCGTCGCCAAGAGCTGTGTCGCCAACCTGAACAAAACCTACGCCATCTCCTCCTCCTTCATTAGCTTCTACATCCCGGTTGTGATCATGATTGCCACTTACACCCGGATCTACAGGATTGCCCAGACCCAAATCCGCCGGATCACATCTTTGGAGAGGGCGGCGGAGCAGGCCCACAACCAAGGTCATGGTGTGAACCGGAACCACCAGCAGCAGCAGCACAGGCACAACGAAGAATCCTCATTGAAGTCGTCGTTTAAGAAGGAGACCAAAGTCCTGAAGACACTCTCCATCATCATGGGAGTGTTTGTCTTCTGCTGGTTGCCGTTCTTCGTCCTCAACTGCACGGTCCCGTTCTGTGACCCGCCCTGCGTCAGCGACACCACCTTCACCGTCTTCGTCTGGTTCGGCTGGGCCAACTCTTCCCTCAACCCGGTCATTTATGCATTCAACGCAGACTTCCGTCGGGCCTTCACTACCATTCTGGGTTGCAACCACATTTGCTTAAACAACGCGGTGGAAGCTGTGAACTTCAGCGACGAGCTTGTTTCTTACCAGCATGACACGACGCTCCACAAGGAGGCGCTGGTCCCTGCGCAGCCGCAGCAACATCCTCGCACCATTAACGTCGGGTCCGGCCACCTGGAGGACATGAGCGCTCAGTTTGACGAGGAGTCGATCATCTCCAATGGTTCCCGGAGCCATAACAGACTGCTGCTGCTTCCTGCCACCGTCCAGTTCGAGGATGACCCAGAAATCTCCTTGGAAACGATCACGCCGTTCACCTCGGCGGGGGGGCTTGAGAGTGATGCTCTAATACCAGGACAAGTCCACCAGGATGGATAGGACAGAAACTGCACTGAGCTGGATGGCAGCCAAAGCTGAACAGGAAGCATAAACTTCAATTCAGCAGTACTCAAAACTTGCCCGCCACAATGTTTTGATTCATTTGAAATAATGGGGGACTTTAAGAATTAATAACCCAGCTGCTCTTAAAAACCTGGAGAAACATAACACATGAGAGAGACTTGACTGATATGAATGTGTGATTGAGGGAATGCTTAGTTTTTAGATTTACTTAGACCTTCTTGACACAGTAAAGTTGGAGATTAACTTGGACCTATTGAATATTTCAAATTATTCAATTAAGCATTGTATGTAAATGTAAAATATTTTATCTGCTCTTTTCATGAAATACCGTGAGACAAGGTGAAGTTAAGTTTATGAAGAAAGTAAAATCTTTGAAACAAGAGAGAGGTCAAGCCGTGTGCTTCCTCTGAAGGAGGCGTCCAGTGAAGGTCAAGCCTTAGGGGTGGATAAGTGTTCATATTTAAATGTAAAGTAAAGAAGACGGAGCCTGATATGGGACACAATACACCAGAATTTAAAACGGAGGAAACTGCAAAGAAGCACCTTTAAAGGACAATGCCAGTAATTATGCTTCTTTCAGCCTTTTAATCAAAATTGCCTATTTTGCAAATTACAGACAGCTGTTCATCAAAGCACGCAAAAATATTTTAGTCTCTGCTTTCTGGAAGGAGGTCATTGAATGAATAAATTTCAGTGGTACACAAAGTTCACTGTTCGTTATGTACCTCGCAGGGCTGACCCCAAATAGTTGAAGATAAGATGCTTTGATGGGCAGAGCCTGATTTGACTGTCAATGTCACAGTCAGCTTCGCAGCAGAACTAAGATCAGGCCATTTTGGCGATATGGGGGTGCTCAACATCTGATTTTACAGACAACTACCAGTTTTCTCCCAATAAGTTAATATACAGCCTATTACAATATACATTTCAACGTTTAATGCTGTAAATAAGTATGTAAAAGGAAAAAAAGGTTTCAATAAATGTTTTTAAAGTGTGTGAGTAAATCCAAAATTGTGACCCTAACCCTGGGTCATCAGTGCGCATGTGTTGGCGTAGTGTGTATGTGTGTGGCGGCAGCAGAGGAACGCTTGCTGAAGAGACGGAGCTCCAGCTTCACTGGTGTTGTGCTGAGTTGTCTGCACCTCGTGGGACTTTTGGATAATTTATCACCGTTGATGAACCACACAAAGAATATTTTATCGTTTTTTAAATAGCCGGCTACTTGAAATAGACCCGCGAGGAACCGCCACGTGCATGCAGCTGTCGGCAGCACGGCATGCACGCAATGGACCGGTGGATGGCAGGCGCGAGAGAGAGAGAGAGAGAGAGAGAGAGAAGGGTCCTCAAAAAGCCTCAGTGTAGCTGGAAATTTACAGTGTAAGTTAAATAGAGACTGCAGCTCTGCAGCTTCTCAAGATTAAAGCGGAGCTACCGTGAGTAACCCCCCCCCCCCCTCACAATCGCCGCGCACAAAAACACATGATTCGACTATCAGTCGACTACAGGCAGGACTTGTGAATTCTGATTCGACTATGTAAATCCTTAATGGGGGACAGCCCTAGTACCTCGCAGGGAAAACGTAAATATGTAGAAATTACTTTGTGATTTATATAACAAAAATTTAAACATTCTGTCTACTTGGTCGTAAACAGTTAAAGCCCTCAAATGCAGGCATATTGTTAAGATGAAGATAAGTAACTCAGATGTCAGTAATGCATATCTAAAGACCTGCTGATAACAACTGAATAACGGCAGCTTGTTCTCGTTTATACAGGACAAGCACAATTGACTCATTAAAATGCACATGTGAAGGCACATTGTAGCAGGGCTCACTTTGGCAATATGCTTTTAAATGCTATATTCTCTATGACCGAGTTTGGACGCATATCCGCAGCCATAAACCCTCCTATAGCATTCGGGCGATGCTGTCGTAAAAGACATGTTTCAAGAGTTTCCACAGTCTTAACAGACTTCAGTTGAACAATGTCAGCATGCAGTTTGACACTAACCATTAACAGGTAGCATGCTACAGCTGATAGACAACAACTGGTGCACTACTAAATCTTTCCGGGCAAAACTCCCACTCTAGGATTTGGAGGAAGTGTGCAAGTAGTAGACATACTGTAAATAGACTATTTTGACAGAAATTGTTTGGGCATACTGAACCAAGGAAGGCACACACTGGAACGAACGTCCTGTACAAAACCGGTCGGGACGAATACATGTACAAAAGTATGTGTATTCCTGTATGTGTGAAAATTTAATTGGCAGGAACTTAGGGTTACCCATATTTAGCATTTAAAAAAATGTTGTCCTGTGGAGTTGCAAGCAGGAGCTGTCACTGTTGGTGCATTCAAGGACAATCCAGCATCTGAGAACTGAGATTTGCTTTAACAGCAGGCTTTTTTAGCGAATTCTCATTTGTGTTTTTAGTTTTCTTTCAACAGAGTTCATCAGTGCAGTTGTTTTGGTTGTCGAGTATCAAATTATCAGGTGATGTAGCGTAGTATATGTAATGTTACCCCAAAAACTTATATTTACTGGATGCTAACTGAATGTAATGGACAGTTGACCTATTTTAACAAATATCCACAAATGGTGATAATAATATTCTGAAATTAAGGAAATACATGTAGAAATTGTGCTATTTTTGGAAGAATTATTGTTCCTAACACAATAATATATTTAATTTGTAGTTATTGGGCTGAAATGTAGAATTATAGGCATGGTCCTTTAAAATACATTTGCAAGAAGGTTAGCAGCTAAAGCTAAATAGTGCAAGATTACAGAGGAAGCTTCTTAATGTATGAAAGGAATGTTGAGGTTGTTAAAAATTGGGTCCACAACAAAAGCATTTATGGTTATATTTTTTAGAGACGATGTACATTAATTAACATACAACAACCACAGAAAATGATTTGTTTGGGATCGCAAACACCACAGCTGTAAAGTCTGTACTTTTTAAACAGTACTACCCCTCCCCAAATTTGTGTTCTAACAGGAACTCTCTGGGTTCTAACTGACCCCAAACATCAATCACTGTGTTGGATAAGAAAGTGTATATTTACTTGTCGCTGAATGACTTTTTGACCGACAAAACAAATACAGTTGTTTATGCGTAGACCAAATAATAATAATAGTAATATTTCCTTATTCGGTATGATAACAATGCTTTATGGTTAGTATTTTATTACCTTCTTCGTGTACACATCTAGGTTTTGTCAAAGGGGTTAAATAATGTCCGGATAAAAAGGAAAACAAATATTTGAAGGGGGGAAATTTGTTAATTTTGCAAGTAATTATTAGACATCAGCAATACAGTCTGTGACCCAAACAATAAGGAATTATCAACTCCTTGACAAAAACTCCCTCCTCTTTTAAACTGAACCACCACTACATTTATATGTTTTGCATTTAGTTAATGAGGTTATCCTAAGTGTCCTGATAGAGTGAGGCCAACAGCAGAATTCTTACATAATTAACAAGGAACCTATAAGGAGACCAATGGCTAAGTCACCAGAACCTCTGCATGCTTGATGATGATTAAAAACAAAATCAGCATTGAAAAAAGGAGTGAAGACGAAACCTGTTTTTTTTCTTCTTGTTGGCCTTGTTTTTGCTCGACTTGGTTCAGAATTTTGTTTTTCAGTATGTCTCTGCTTGCTGCTTTTATCTTCAGTCAATAGTGGAGTTGAAACAGAGTGGAGGCACCCAGGGGCCACAGAGGGGACGACATCCTGAACCCCACAGGTGTGTTCTACAGGTTCAGCTGTTCAGATTCAGAGTGCATCATCACAGAGTTCCTGTGTTGGTGTATGTGACTGAGAGAGATGAATATTTCAAGACTGTAGTTTTAGGCTGAGTGGAACCATAAACTGATCACCCATTACATTATGACCAGTGGCAGCCATGGTTCAAATTATGGGGGGGATTGAGGGGGTCTGACCCCCTAATAGAGACTTTGACCCCTCCAAAAGAGGCAAAAATAACCGTTCAACTTTCTTAACTGTAACTGTAACTATTTCAATATATTTCCTATATTCCTGCCTTAGATTCAAGAATATTTAAATATGCTATCAGAAACCCCTAAAATGGACCATACCATTTCCTAAACTTGACGTTAGTTAAACATCTTGTCTGTGTGCATCACTGGCAGCTGCTCACACAACAAGCTAATGGAGACACTGTTGGTTAAGAAGTTAGCTATCTAGCTTCTTTAATAAACTTAACTTTCCAACCATCAGAGTTTTGTAATTAAATGTTGTCTGTCAAGTGCCCATGGATGAATGCTAAAGTCAGCTAGTTTCTAACTTTTGCCTTAAGTTACAGTTAAGCTTAGGCATGAGCAGTGAAATTGATTTGTAGAAATGTAGCCTATTATTTAATTTTGAGTCTTTTGTGAGTATTTTCACATTAAGCATGTTATTTGTTTTCACTCTGGAATTTGGGAGTTTTACTTGGATAGGTAATTGAAAAATGTTTAAATCCAGGTGAGTTATTTGAAATGTATGTCTACTGCTTTATTAAATGCATTTTCAGACACATGCAGACACAGTCAACATGAGCAAGAAGAAAGGAGACATTCAACACTTTATTGGTGCTAACAAAAAAAAAAAGAGTAAATTGAATCTTAAAACTTGAAATGATAAGAACTAGGAATTGGAGATAATAACGCAGCCTGTATTTATGACAGTGTCTTTGGTTCTGGTTCAGCATTGTGAGGGTTTGTGTTTGAGCGGAAATGTTGGTCTGCTGATGTGTGCTGGTCTGACTTGCTGGCAGTATTGCTCTAAAATACTTGGTGACCTCTGGCTTCAAAAGTTGTTACATGATATGTGGCAACGGTGTAATTAATTTGATTTATCATCATCTACAGACTGCAGACATAAGTCAACAGGCCTGCACTGTACTGGGTTTCCTTTATGACTATATAATTGTCAATGTATAGTTTGCATTTTGCTGACAGGTAAAGTGAATGACACTGATTATCTCATTACCATGGCACCTGCCAGTGGACATATAAGGCAGCAAGTGAATATTGTGTACTCATAGTTGATGAAATTGTGATGACTATACGACTTCGTCAGAGCATCTCCAAAACGGTCTGCAGTGGTCAGTACCTATCAGAAGTGGTCCAAGAAAGGAAAAGCTGTGAATGGTCGACAGGGTCATTGGGTGGCCAAGGCTCACTAATGCACATAGGGCAGGGGCGTGTAATCCAACAGACGAGCT